GGCCTCCCTGCCATTGCAGAGTGGCTCCATGCACTGTAGATCCCACAGAGATGAACAGTTCCACTCCTCAGCGACTTTGGTCACTACACCCACCCCTTTATTTGCTCTGGGGTTGTGGACGTCCACTTCCATGCCATCACCATTGACACTCAGAGCCCCTGGCTGGCTGGATGCCCTGGGGGTTCCGGAGAGCTCAGCTCACAGGAGCCGCCCGCACCTGCTCACTCCCAAATTGAGGCCTGCGGGTTGGTTTCTGTGGTTCAAGGCCTCCCTGTATGGAGTTTTCCAGGGCAGCCATCACCTGCCTTTCCAGAGACAAAAACGTACCTCAGAGCACGGTGCCTGCTCACTCCCAGCCTCCTGGATAAAACGCAGTAACAGCTCACACCGGCTCCGGCAGTTTATTTTATCTGCCAGCCAGCCAGGACCTGGCCTTGCCCAGAAGCCATCGAGTCTATGCTACCAACTTTTTAACATTTTTACAAATTACCAATGTTCAGAGGAACTCAGTTGAAAATCAAAGTGCATGTTAGAAAACGTCGCTATGTCTAAACGTTACATTCACTAGTTAACAAGTCCTCCACCCAAATCACCAGCGGGCAGAGAAAATCAATAACTTTCAGAGCCACCAATAACTCGAGTGGGGCCAATACTGTCCCCGTCACAGTTCCTTCTTCCCTGAGCCTTTCTCCACCACAGAAAAAGGAACACTGGGCACAGTGCACACTACTGCCTCCTCTTACCCTCAGATGCTGGCCTGGGTGGCCTCACAGGCTGCGCCTGGCTCTGTACACAGCTTCCAGGAAGGGCATGCTGTTGGAGATGGGCTCCCCATCGTGTCTCCGTCCCAAACGGGTCACTGGCTTTTCTCAAACAACGTCACCTTCCTACTTGCCTGTCATGCTGGGGTTTCTGCAAAGCCTGTGTGCTCACCGGGAGGCACACCACCACCTAGGAGAAAGTTTAACCTGCTCCCAGACACACTCTAATAACCCTCCTGCTGGTGCTGCCCAGGGAGCGGGAGGCAAAGTTCAGGAAGTGTCCTTGCTGGTTTAACAAACAGTTAGTCAGGGCTCAAAACAGAGTGGCTTTTGTTTTTGGCTTCCTAAGCTGATAATGGTTTGTACAAAAGACACATTTCCCCATCATTTCACTAAGGCAGCTCTTTGCTCCAGACACCACCGGTAGTGGGAGAAGGAGGGAGGACGGGAGAGAGCACAGCCCGACGATTCTGGGAGATGTGCCTTACACTCCCTGACTTTCCCTTTGCTCTTCTAGAAACCCTGACAAACAGCACCACCCCCTGGGCTCTACCTGCTCAGATCCTCAGACATCACCGTACCCAGGAACTCAGCGGCACCACAGTCCATCCCCTTCCACTCTCCTCGCTTACTCAGACACCACAGCAGCAACTTTCCGTTACAAGCTGCCTGCCGAAAGGATCGTTGGGAAAACACTGCGAGCCACAGACCCACCAGCTCGGCCATGACTAACTGCACACTTCAGCCGACCACCACGGTGCGAGTTCCCAGTAAAAAGAAATGGGTCTGACTGGAACCATTCAGAATATCAATCAATTAAAGGTTTATTTGCCTGAAGATCACCAGTGGAGGGTCCCTGAATAGGGTATCTGGATGGAACACACATACTCCCCACTCATATCTTTATTAGACTTTTTTTTAAAGATGATGTGATGTACAAGCTGTTTTTTAAAAGAGCAGTCTTTCCATAAGTTTCACAGTATCGAATTCCACTTTGTGGAAAATTATATCCCACCCTTGAAAAGCAAAGCAAGACATGGAGGAACTGTAACTGCACATTGACTAAGGGGAAGAAGCCCATCTGAAAAGGCTGCATGCCAGATGGTTCTAGCTCCGTGACGTTCTGGAAAAGGCAGAGCTGTGGAGACACTGAGGACCGGTGGTTGTGGGGGCTGGTATGGGGGATGAGCTGGCACCGAAACGACTCTGTGACACTATAATGCTGGACCTGTCATTCTACATTTGTCAAAACATGGAATATACACCACCAAGAGTGAACCCTAAACTATGGACTTCAGTTAATAATAATGTATCAGGCCGGGTGCAGTGGCTCACGCCTGTAATCCCAGCACTTTAGGAGGCCAAGGCGGGTGGATCACTTGAACTCAGGAGTTTGAGACCAGTCTAGGCAACATGGTGAAACCCCATCTCTACAAAAAAAAAAAATACAAAAAATTAGCCAGGCGTGGGGGTTACTGAGTGTGGTCCCAGCCACTGGAGAAGCTGAGAAAGAAGGAACACTTGAGCACAGGAGGCCGAGGTTGCAGTGAGCCAAGATCAAGATCGTACCACTACACTCCAGCCTGGGTAATAGAGCAGATTGTCTCAAACAAAACAAAACAAATAATAATGTATCAGTATTTGGTCCCGGAATGCTCTACACTATGTTCCATTTTCTGTAAACCTAAAATTGCTCTAAAACATGAAGTATATTCATTTTTTTTAAGTAAACAAACTTTCTTCCTGTGGGCGGCAAGCCACCCAGGTGCTGAGGCAAGAGACTGAGGGCACGAGCTGTTTTAGAAAAAACCACCGACCCTATGGGGCTAGACCTGCCCTTCCATTCTAAAAAAGAAATCAGGATCTAAAACTATGAGAAGATTCACTCTGACACGTCAGGTTCCCACCCTTCTGAAGTGACCAGCGTGAGGCTTGGCCACGCCCTTCAGACCACACAGGCCTTTAAGGATAAAATGCATTGGTGCCTTCAGTGCCTCGAGTAATGTAACTCAAGGTATCCATGCCCAGGGCTGCCGTAACAAACTAACAAAGACCACGTGGCTTGAGGAAACACCAGTTTATCCTTTCTCAGTTCTGGAGGCTGGAAGTCCAAAGCCAAGGTGTGAGCAGGGCTGGCTCCTGCCTAAGGCTCTCAGAGAGGACGCATCCTTGCCTCTGCTGGCTTCTGGGAGCCCCCGGAGTTCCCTGGCTCAGTCTCTGCCCCGTCTTCCTATTGCCTTCTCCCTGTGTGTCTCTCCTGTCTTCCAGGGACACCTGTCACTAGATTTAGGGCCCAAACCAGCATGATGTCATCTTGAGATCCTTAATGAACTACATCCACAAAGACCCTTTTTCCAAATAAGGTCAAACCCACAGCTTCTGGGTGGACGTATCTTTTGAGAGGCCACTCTTCAGCCACTGCACCATACATAGGACATAAAAAATCAACAATGCCCTAACAAACATGAGAGGGGGATAAAAAGACAGACACAAGTGAGAAAGAGTGCCCACGCACATGAACGCCCAGGAACACAGTTCCCCGGACGCTGCAGACCAAGGCCTCTGGGTTACCCTGCAGGACCTTGGGTGTCTCCTCGTGAAGAAGCCGGGTCCTTCTCAAGGCACAGGAGCTGCCGTCTGCAGTCTTGGGGTCTCCCAGCATGTTCCACACACTGCAGCCATGCGAGAGGGCCCAACTCCCACTACACGCCCTCTTAGCCAGCACCTCACCGCTGCCTCATATGCAGAAAGGCACAGCCAAACGTGGGACCCATAGTGGGCACCCTGGCCCCGGAAGCTGCAGCCCAGCTGATAACCGGGACTCCGCTCTAAGGGAGGACCACCCCTGGGGTCTATGTGGGCAGAAGGGAAGCTGCCCACCTGAGGGTGACTAATCCCTGGGGCAGCTTCTTGGAGCAGGGAACAGAGTACAATCCCATGGCTCCCACTGTCCAGTGGCATCCAGAAGCGACTCAAAAACTACCCGGTGCCAGCCTCAGCTTTCGAGAAGTCAGGGCACAGAGGACTGACCTGAGAAGCTCAGGCCCCACTGGCCGGCAGCTCAGCCCTTCTGGTGCCCTTGCTCGGCAGCAGGCTGACCAGGACTGGCGGCTGCCACCTCCACCTTCGCCGCGGTTCCCAAGGGCTCAGGTTCAACATCATGCATTTTCTGCGGCAGCCACATGGCTCTCCTGGAATCCCACCCTCCAGACCGGTGGACATGGTTACACCCTGTCCACCACGACTATGCTCGAAGACCCTCTCCCCAGCTATGTTGAGTACAAGGGACCCACAGTGACAGGAGACACCACGTCACTGTGACAACCCTGGCTACATCTGGGAGCAGGGTGGAGGACAGCCAAGCAGGGGCAGGCATTAGTCAGGCATCCCCAAACACAGAAAATCATCTGCAAGTTGACAAAAGGAATCCTCCCAAGCCCTCTGCTCCACCTGTGCCTGGAGCCTGGCAGCGGGTGGTCGTGACGTCACTGCCCACCCCGCCTCTGCTGGCTGACAGGCCCTGGGGGAGGACTCCTGCCCAGGCTGAGAGGACGTGTGGGACAGACAACTGTGGGCCTCCTGTCACAGCCACACAGCCCCACGGTGCACACAGGGCAGGAGGCCTCACGCCAGCTTCTACAGAAGACAGCCCGGGAGCAGGAGGCACAAGCCGCAGGGCATAAAGGAAGAGGTGGATGCCAGACTTCCCCCAAGCTCCTGGGTGAAAACCACTTGCCTCGTAGGTAACGAAGTCATCGAACTCATCCGGGCAGGCCAGGGGCTCCTCGTCTTGGGCAGAAGCGACGCCACCGTAGCACTGGCCATCGGGATCTGCAGGGAGAAGACCTCGTGCTCAGCACGTCACCCACAGCCACCCAGTGACAGGACCCCTGGCGGCCTCAGGGCTCCCAGGGAAGGAGGCCCCTAGGGACAGATGTGTGGGAGTTGGGGACCCTGCGGGGGTCAAGACAAGCAAAGGAGTGAATGTGAGAAGTTCAGGGAGAGAAAACAGCCTTGAGGACAGGTCAGAGATGCATTCCCCATGGGAACAAGGCTTCTGGAGAGAATTCTGAGGAGGAGGTGTGGAGGCAGGAGGAAAACTTTTTATTTCTTAAAAGAAGCAGACAGTGCTGCAAAAAAAAAAAAGAGAGAGAGCAAGATGTTGAGCTCTGTAAAACTGCTCATGGCCTTTAATAAGTGTTAGGTACCACTCAGGTTTTTTTGAGACGGAGTCTCGCTCTGTCGCCCAGGCTGGAGTGCAGTGGTACAATCTCACTGCAAGCTCCGCCTCCCGGGTTTACGCCATTCTCCTGTCTCAGCCTCCCCAGTAGCTGGGACCACAGGCGCCCGCCGCCACGCCCGGCTAATTTTTTGTATTTTTAGTAGAGACCGGGTTTCACTGTGTTAGCCAGGATGGTCTTGATCTCCTGACCTCATGATCCACCTGCCTCTGCCTCCCAAAACCAGTCAGATTTCAACCTTTAAAAACATTTACCTGAGAAGGTGTAGGTATGATGAAATCATATGAAAACAACATCTTTTCCTGGGTGCTGGGCTCACGCGCAATTTTCATTTTCTTTTCTTTCTTTTTTTCTTTTTTTTTGCTTATCTTCTATAATCAGTGTTTTATGAGAAAAACTTTAAAGGAAAAGCTATCCTCTCGTGAGAGGCTATAATTCTTACGTTAGCTACAGTCATCACTTTGCAAACACAACCCATCCCGCAGCACCTGCCTCTCCTCCTGTAGGAAAAGGCAGTGGCTTCCAGCCTCTCAGTGATATTCACAGGTCAAAGCACCTTCCAGGGCCTGTGAGTGACAGAAGACACTTAGGTGTCCTCACACTGTCTCACTATTAATTCAACTACTTGCTTAAAATACACCAGCTACTTACAACATAGCAGTACTTACTCAATACCTTTAACACAATCTATTCTAAGGTCAATCACTTATTTTAAAAGTGAAGGTTGGGGCCAGGCATGGTGGCTTATACCTGTAATCCCAGCACTTTGGGAGGCTGAGGCAGGTGGACTGCTTCAGCCCAGGCAATTGAGACCAGCCTGGGCAACATGGTGAAACCCCATCTCCACAAAAAATACAAAAATTAGGTCGGGTGCAGTGGCTCACACTTGTAATCCCAGAACTTTGGCAGGCTGAGGCGGGAGGATCATTTGAGGTCAGGAGTTCAAGACCAGCCTGACCAACATGGTGAAACCCCATCTCTACTAAAAACAGTAAAAATTAGCTGGGCATGGTGGC